TTATTTTTTGATTTGGGAAAAAAATTCTTTATAAAACCCTCTTTTTGAATTAAAGGTTTTGACAAATACAAAATATCTTTATTTTTCTCAATTAAATCTCTTTTTGATTTAGAAGTTTTGCCAACTTTTTTATTTGTCCGAAATCTGCAAAAAAAAAATTATTGATCAAAAAATTGAATTGAGAACATAATATGATTTTAATTGAGATAAAAAGTTCACCAATTCTGATTAACAAAAACTATATAATTACAAACTTAAAAAATAAAATAAAAACTTTTTTTTTTTCATTTTTTCCTTGTTTAGGCATACATCAAAATTAATTCAAATATATAGATGACTACTTTTTTAAACTATCCTTTATTTTCACTTTTCTCTACCATTATTATGGTTTTGGTGTCAAGTATTTGGTTAAAATGTTCCAGTTTATAGATCTATATTTCTGTTCTATGTTAGGAGAAAAATTTAGCCTTTTATAAAATTTTGTATTGAAATTCAAAACGATACTTATTATAAATTAAAACATTATTTAAACTTAAAAATACTTATTATATTTTTGGGTAGTTTTCACTTTCCATTAAAGTGAAACTATTATCCAGATCTAAGATTGAGATCTAATCCAGATAATTGTATGATGAATCCGGATCATGATACTATAAAATTTCAGAATATATGGATCTGCCATCCCTAATTCCCATTCTATCTCTATTCCCTCAATGGTAAATCCTTCTCATTAGGGATAGACATTTCGGTTGAAGTTTGGGTTTGATTTAAGTTTGGTTCGGTTCATTTAATTCGGTTTTCGAAAAACTGTAACGAAATTCAAGCGAAGTTAGTTTGGTTTGATTTGCGTTCGGGTTGGTTTATGTTTGGTTCGGTTTGTTTTAATTCGGTTTGATTTTTATTCGGTTCAAAATACCAATTAACTATGTAAACACAAAACGAAAATTCATTGTCGTGATATGAAAGCTTTTTTTTTTTTTTTTTTTTTGTGTGGAAATCTTGACGTCTTTACGGCTTTACTCTTTAAAGGTAATTAAGCCATGGATGCAGATACGAACCTCGCGGCCACAGATGGAAGACTATAAAGGAATCTGGTTTTCCCACTCCACTCCTAAGTACTCATTCATTACATGGCTAGTTGCAAAAAACAGACTCGCAACATGAGATAAGATGATTAAATGGAACAGACAAGCAAACTCAAGCTGCATTTTTTGCCAACATCATACAGAGACAAGGGAACATCTGTTCTTCATATGTCCTTTCTCTCTTCAGGTATGGCAAACAATCACAAAAGGAATTCTTGTCACTAATTTTAAAGCAAATTGGAAGGACATGCTCAAGCTGATCAACGGTAATGGCCTAGACAAGACAAAGTGCTTCATTCTACGGTACATCTTTCAAAACGCTATTCATTCCATTTGGAGAGAACGAAACTGCAGACGACACGGCGAAGACCCATCCCCATGTGAGAGGTTGGTAAAGATGATTGATCAAAACGTTAGAAACCGGCTAAGCACAATTAGGAGTGGAGGTGATCTCAAATATGCAGGAGGCATCCAAGTATGGTTCGAATCAAAGCAACAAAGATAATCTCATCTCTTTGTTCCTATTTATGATATTTTTTTTAAACAGTATGCACTGGAGTGTAAACAAGTTTATTTTTTTCTTGAATATAATTTAGCATTAAATTTAAAAAAAAAGAAAGATAATTAAATTTAGTTTTACGTTAATTAGTTTATTAGAAAACTGAAAAAAAAAAATCAAACATGTTAAATGGCAAATGCAATGTGGGTACTAGATAGAATTACATATTTACATATTATTAATTAATTAATAATAAATACATTTGGTGTTCGGTTCGGTTCTGTTCAGTAACCGAATCAAACTGAACCAAACCGAACCAAATTATTTGAGTTGAAAAGAAACCTAACCGAATGGTTTAGTGTAAATTCAGGTTTGAGGTTGGTCAGTTCAGAACGGTTCTATTCAGTTACCTGTCGTTCCCTTCTAATCAATGTTTTCACGCCCGACCCGAACCGCCCGCTCCGACCGGTTAACCCACGACCCATACACTTTCCCGGTTTGGGTTTAGTGCTAATATCCGCCATTTTAAAAACCGAAAAAACCTACAAAAACACGCCATTAACCCGCGATCCAGTGAACCGGTTGAACCGGTTGGGTATGGGTTTAAAAATATCATTTGATTTTGGAATAAATATAGAGTTTTAGACTCTATTTAGTCATTTTTAGAATTTTTTTTAGATTTTAGACTCATTTGTTGTTTTAGACTTTAATGAAACTTCACAGTGATGTCTAAAAAAAATGAATGTAATGGAGAGAGAAATAACCGAGATTAGTTTTTTTGAATTTTGCGATATTTTATTAGTTTATTTTTGTCATTCGTGATCTCATACTATTTTAATATTTATTACGGTTTTAGACTTTTAGGTTGGAATTAAAAATTTAATTTGAATCACTTTATTATTATTGTTAGACTTCATATTTTGTAATATATTAAGAATATTTTTTATTTTTATATTAATAAAAACTAAATAATCTCTATAAATATTAAATATATTAAATAAAATTTTAATCAATTGACCCGTGGTCGAACCCGGTTGACCCAATGACCCGGTGACCCAAAAGGTAGTCCGGTTCACTGTCCGGGTCGGGTTTAAAAACACTGCTTCTAATTATGAGGCCCAATCTTTTAAGGAAGAAATAATCTTCACGGGAGATACTAGGCCTGGGCTTTCGGTTATCCGTTCGGTTATCGGTTGGGTCCATTCGGTTTTCGGTTCTTTCGGTTTTAAAATTTAGTATCCATTCGGATATTTTGAAATTTCGGTTCGGTTTCGGTTTGGTTCCGGTTCTTTCGGTTTTAAAATTTAGTATCCATTCGGTTATTTTGCTTAGAATATTTTCGGATATTTCGGTTATTTTTGAGTATTTTCGAATATTTTTGAATATTTTTCGGTTATTTTTAAGTATTTTGAGTATTTTTATAGATTTTTCAAGTATTTTTGATTATTTGGTCAATAAATAACTAATTATTTCGAAAATATAATTGTATTTCGGGTATTTCGGTTACCCGAAATATTTCGGTTCGGTACCGATTCGGTTACGGTTATTTCGGTTATCAAATTTAGTATCCATTCGGTTATTTTCAAATTTTCGGTTCGGTTCGGTTCGGTTTTTTTTTGCTTCGGTTTCGGTTCGGTACATTCGGTTCGGTTTAAAAGCCCAGCCCTAGGAGATACAAGTGTCATGGGCCGGTTTATGGACTTAATACACAAGCTATAAATACCCTTTGGGCCTCAGGTACTTACAAATATTAGGGGAAAAATGTCATTTAATCGTCCAACTTTCAAAAAATGGCTATTTTATACATGAACTTCATAGGAGGCCATTTTAAACATCAACTAAACGTTGACTGCCGTATTAAACATGAGACTGCGTTGACCTGGCCAATATAGACATGACGTTAAAACTCGATAACGGAACCATTAACAGCCGTTATCAGCCGTTAGCTATTCTGTTAGTTAAATCGTCAACTTTCAAATTTAGGCCATTTTAAACATGAACTTCGTATGAGGCCATTTTAAACATCAACTAAACGTTGACCCGGCCAAAAAAGACATGACGTTAAAATCTGCTAACATAACCACTAACAACTGTTATCAATCATTAACGAACAACAAAACTAAGACAAAAAAAACATAATACAAAGAACCAAGGCACAAACCAAACGCCAAAGACATACTGGTAACCAAAAATGAGAAATCTGTTTTTGTATATTAGTGTGAAATCAAGAGAGGTGAACGAAAGACACTAGACAATGATACGAAAATTGAGAGAAAAGAACAGATGAATACTTAATTTGAGGAGAAGCATGATGAAAGTACATAATATGTATGCAAATGGGAATATGGAACAAAATGAGGATATTAACCCCATTGTCTAATGTCTTACGTTCATCTTTCTTGATCTAATTCTTATCATTGTCTAGTGTCTTACATTCACCTCTCTTGATCTCACCATTCGTCTGCACACTAGTAATCAAGAACAAATTTTTTATTTTTGGTTATTAGTGTCTTTGGTGTTTGGTTTGTGTTTTGGTTCTTTGTATTATGTTTTTTTTTGTCTTAGTTTTGTTGTTCGTTAATGATTGATAACAGTTGTTAGTGGTTATGTTAGCAGATTTTAACGTCATGTCTTTTTTGGCCGGGTCAACGTTTAGTTGATGTTTAATATGGCCTCATACAAAGTTCATGTTTAAAATGACCTAAATTTGAAAGTTGACGATTTAACAAACAGAATAGCTAACGGCTGATAACGGCTGTTAGTGGTTCCGTTATCGAGTTTTAACGTCATGTCTATATTGGACAGGTCAACGCAGTCTCATGTTTAATACGGTAGTCAACGTTTAGTTGATGTTTAAAATGGCCTCCTATGAAATTCATGTATAAAATGGCCATTTTTTGAAAATTGGACGATTAAATAACATTTTTCCCCAAATATTAGTACGCCACACTATATTTCATTTTCAATTACGATGCAGGACATGAATGTTGCAAATAATAAATTCGTTCCCGCCATTATTAAGAGCTAAATAAATATAATAATTATAATTTTTGTGTCAAATATTGGCCCAACGTTCCAGTTTTCTAGATCCATATTTCTTTTATTCTATTACTTTTTTCTTATTAACGTTACCAAAGATCTCTTTTTAGAATCTGCAGTGGCACGTGCCGGTCATGACACGGTACAAAAATCAAAGTACACAAAAAAAGACGAAGGAATCTCAACAGTTTTGTCTTTGGTCAGCGAAAGATCCATCCAACGGTCCAGATCTATCTCATCATCCGGGAAAAGTCTTCATCTAACGGTTGAAATTCATCAACTTATATCAATCGTTCGATCCAAAATTGACCGGTCATGATTTAACATTTCGTCCAATAAATAAGCTTCACCTCCTTAGACCTCTTCTCTAACGCCACCATTTCGAAAATTGAAAATTTGCCCTTTCTTCACCTAAACAAAATAAAGATTCAATTTTTAAAATTTTGTGTCTTTAAAAAAAAAATTAAAAACAAGAGTTCAACGCCGGAGATGTGGCCGGAGAAATCGAGACATACGGTGGTGATTCGAATTTCGCGGTATCGTAGAGCTCAAAAGTGAAAAAAAATGGATAGCCAGAAAGGTCCGGCGAAGCTGACGAGGACGAAGTCTTCTCTTCTCCGTTCATTGCCGTCCGTACGATCATCAATTCATAGCCTTTCTTCAATCTCAGAGGACGAAGAAAGTCTTTCTGAAGAGAAACCGAGAAGAAAACCGCTTCGTAAAACCAGGTCCGGTTTAATCCGGTTTAGCTCAATCATGCTTCTTCTCTCTCTACTCTTCTTCTTCTTCTACTTAGGTCGAGAAGAGATTCCCACCTCAGAGAATCTTCTGATAGCTTTAATTTTCATCGTCGTTACGCTTTTCTTAGCCTCCAAGAACAAAACCCTAATCAACCAAATCATCACAACGGTTAAACAACCGTCAAATCGTAACCACTCATCAAAGCCGGTTCAATGGTTCATCGGCGAATCAAGAACCGAAACCCACATCAAGAAACTCCCTAGAGAAACAGTTGAGTATTACAATAATAGCGATTTCTACGAAGGAGAGTTTCACAAAGGTAAGTGTAATGGAAGTGGAATTTACTATTACTTCATGAAAGGTAAATATGAAGGTGATTGGATTGATGGAAGATACGATGGGTTTGGGATTGAGAGTTGGGCTAGAGGAAGTAAGTACAAGGGACAATATAAACAAGGATCAAGACATGGACATGGTGTTTACAGGTTTTACACTGGAGATTCTTATTCTGGAGAATGGTGTAACGGACAGAGTCATGGTGTTGGTGTTCAGACATGTGCTGATGGTAGCTGTTACGTTGGAGAGTTCAAATTTGGTGTCAAACATGGCCTTGGCCGTTACCATTTTAGGTATATTTCTTTCTCTGATTTGGGTTTTTGGTTGTTTCAATCTCAAAGTTGGAATCTTTTTTTAACTTTCAGTTACCATTTTAGATTTATCGTTTTGGTTCTTGATTATGTCATGCTCAAAGATAGAATCTTTTTTCTTACTTTCAGTTACCATTTTAGGTATATAGCTCTTGTCTGGTTTTGGTTCTTAATTGTTTCACGGTTAAAGTTGGAATCTTTTGTTAACTTATCACAATTCTGTAAATCTATTTGTGATCTAATGGTTATGTTGTTTTAAGAAATGTATTTTGTGATTTTGGGTGGAATTTGTCTACATTATTTGGTAGAGTGCAAGTATTTTGACTTTTTTTCTTGTATCTGCTGCTTATGGTAAAGGTGGATTGTTTGAATGTAGAAATGGAGATACTTATTCGGGTGAGTATTTTGGAGACAAAATGCACGGTTTTGGAGTATACCACTTTGCGAATGGACATTGTTACGAAGGGGCTTGGCACGAGGGTCGTAAACAAGGCTACGGAATGTATACATTTAGGAATAGTGTCACTAAATGTGGTGAATGGGATAGTGGACACCTTAAGACCCCTGTAGCTCCTCCTCTCACAGGCTCTATTCTTAAAGCAGTTCAGGTAAATAAACGACCTCTTATGGAAAGTGATATCTTCTTTCGATTTGTTTGAAATGAACCTCAGGATGTGTTTTTAATGGTTTATGATTATATTTCTTTGTTGCAGGCTGCGAGGGAGAGAGCAGAGAAAGCGATAAAACAGAGGCGAGTGGATGAGAGAGTGAACAAGGCCGAAATGGCAGCAAACAGAGCGGCAACAGCGGCAAGAGTAGCCGCTATAAAGGCAGTTCAATACCAAATCGATGGTACACTTTGCGACTTGGAGGCGAGAGAATTAGCAGTCTAAACACTCTTGATTGTAGCTATTATTGGGAGTTTGTGTAACTTCTCAAATCCACCCTGACTTGCAAACAAAGAGTATTTGCTCGTCGGAGGTTAGCTCTTAACTTTGCTTTTTACCACCTTGCAACTTGTATATATACTCATGAATGCACAATTAGATCCACTTTCCTGGATTAATTACTATATCAATTAAAGAGAAGAGAATGGAACAGTGAACTTTAAAGTAATGAAATAAAAGTTAGTAGATCTATTGACATATTTTGGGATTATAGAAGAAAAGAGTTGAGATCTTGATCCTTATCTTTGTTTTCTGGTCCACACACAGAAGTACAACTATGTCATTGAACAAGATGGGTTTTTGGATCTTGTCCAAAAGAGAGAACATCCATATTCCACGCCCATCTTTAGAGAATATCGCCAGACATATAAACATAACTGAATAAGATAAGAAACAGATCTTGGGACCATTATGCGGTCACTGACTCATCTCTTTCTTACTCTTGAATAAGACCAACATTCAGATCTAGAATGCGACTGACTCATTAGGACCAAATCTTGGTGTTTTTTCTTCTTCTTAATCTAAGTAAATTATTTGCGACTCATGACCATGAGGCTTCTACATTTGTCTTATTGATATTTTGTTTAGTAAGAACAGAATTGCTAGAAAATCAGCCTAAAGGAAAAAAAATATACTTGCTTGAATCCTTGATCAGTAGTAGAGAGTTCATACAACATTTAATTGTCTTTTTAGGGGGTATGAAAAGTTTTATCAATTAATTTTGAACTTTGATAGTTAAAAAAGAGTAAATATAGCAATTCCAAATATTTACTTGGAGATAACATAGAGTTGTTTTTTAAAAATAACCATATATAAAGGGTTGTAGTTTATTGTTCTTTGTTTATATATGAGTATAGGAAATAAATGTTTCATATTTTCGGTCTTACAAAACTTGTGTTGTTGAAAGAAAAAATATATATGTAAATAGTTATACAAGTTTGAGTGAATCGTGTAGCAGCGAATGTGATTTATTTTAGCGCTGCCTATACTATTACACTTATACTATAGCGTTTCAACTCCTATCGATCTGTACTTTCGACCTCTACTCAATTCTTCATATATTTGTTATAATTTTTTTAATTCCACCTAAACTATTAAATTCTCCATAATTAACCAAAATAAATAATTCTCTCTAATTGCGGTTAAAAATCGTCAAATCGTGTTTACTGTAGGCCAACCCAAGTCAGACCCAACCAACTTCGAAGACTCTCTTCCACCATAAGGGTTTGACTCGGGTTTATTTCTTTTGTCGGGTCAACCTCGGGTTAATATATACACAGATTTCTTACCGCAATTTGACGATTTTTAACCGCAATTAGAGATAATCCTTGATTTTGGTTAATTATGGAGAATTTAATAGTTTAGGTGGAATTAGGAAGTTTAGAACAAGTATATAGTAAATTGGGCAGAGGCCGAAAGTACATGTCGATAGGAGTTGAAACTCTATATTATAGGTGTCACGCTACAGACAACCCTTTATTTTAAACAAATTCTATAGCGACATGTTTAAATTTTTATCACTTGAAATTCATAACCCGAAGCGTAAAGCATAATTCAAAATTTAGCTTGAAAGAAAGTCTTTATGAAGCATGTCTTTGAACTACAAATGTCCGGGTTACCAAAATCACTAAAGGTTCTAGTACTTGACGCCGGTTAAGTCTAAGACAACATGGACCCGGCCATCACTCGATAAAGGTTTAACTTACCCAAGTTATCTCATGTAAAAGGGGGTAACCTAATCTCTTGATCATGGCTTCCTTTGGTACTATTCGCTTCTTAACGTTCTAGGCACGTATTTAGAGCTAAGGTAAGTATATATGTTGAGTTTCTCGTCTCATATAGTCTATACTATTGTACGCTTGCATTTGAGTAGTAGAGCTGCTCAAAAAAGATCTAACTTACCCAAGCTACCTGAGGTTAAAAAAGAGGTAACTTTATCTCTTGATTTAGGGCTTGCTTGAATACTAATTCACTCCCTAACGTTCGAGACACGTATTTAGAGCTAATGTAAGAATATCCGATGTGATTCTCGTCTCACCTATATATAGCTTTTGTGCTTCTTATTTTGTCTCGTTTTACTACACATAGGAAAAAACGAAGAAACTCAAGTCACCTACCAAATTCTTCCTTCGTATAACATAAAAGTGTACATGTATTTTATTGTTTTTGACTTGAAAGCTAAAAATATGTATTAGTTCTTAGTTCTTACAATAAAAAAAAACGAATGTTGCGTATAAGAATAATCGAACTCCTAATTCAAGACGTTTTCTTCATCAACACATTAATCAAGAAGGTGGTGATCGATGAAAAAGAATGAAAACGAAAGTTGAAAATGAAAGATTCTTGAGAGATGCCAAATGGCCAAAATGAGTTAAATGACAATTCATAAGCAGAAAAAGAGAATGTATAAAAGCAAAGAAATTAATCAAATGTTAAAAAAAAAAGCACATGAAGAAGTGGGTGGATGTATCTAAGGTTCATGGCCTCCCCTACTTTCCTCCTCATGCTTTTCGGTTCCACATTTTTTTCTTAATTGAGTTACTTAGTTTATTCATAAAGATAACCTAACATGATAAATTATTAACTATCTCTTTTGGCCTTTCTCATATATGTATTTTTTTTCAAGTTTGTAGATACATCAATCACTTGATGGTTCTCTTTCTAGCTTTATTTATTGTACTTTCAAATCTTAAATCTTTCCTAGGCTTTGAAACAACTTCACATGCAATAACTCACAAAAATAAGAAAAGTAGTGACTACTCTTGTGAGGGGTATTTACACTCTTTTGACTAAACCCCTTCACGCGCTTCCCTCTCGGACATTCAAATTATATCTTAAGATTTTTAACATTGGAATAAGTCTTTGCCCTTTTTTCATTTTAAAATTCTCTCTTTTTATTTTATCCTTAGATCTCTCCCTTATTTGAAAAATCGCTAGGCGTTAGTCGGGCGCTAGGTATGGGTCTAGCGATTAATCGGAAAATCGGATTAAAATCGGGGATTAATCGAGAATTAGTTTTAGGATTATTTTAATATTTGTAAAACATATTAATCAAATATTGTTTTCAAAATTGCACTAAACACATAAAACTGTATTTTTGAGATAATTTTTATGATTTTTATTACAAATTTATGATTTTTATTAAAATTTGAACATAAGTTATTGTAAAACATCACAAACTCCCAATTTAAATGATTGAATAACAAAAATAAAAAGTTTTTAATACTTGCAATTTAAAAATAATCGAGATATGTAAAATTAGGCTAGAGTAATCGGATTAGACGGGAAGTAATCAGATTAGGCGGAGAGTAATCGGGTAACTGATTTTTTTAGGGGATTAGACATTAATGGAGGCGGATAGGGTGGGCCTAGCGATTAAGCGGGGAGTAATCGGGCCTAGGCGGGGATTTTTAGAACAGGGGATCTCTCTATCTAATATCTCTTGAAATTTAGTCTCTCTTACTTTTTAACATTGATATCTATACAAAAGTTCACAAAACTAGTACAAAATATGGTTTTGTTAAAATCTAAAACAAGTCAAATAGATACAAAAACTTTGAGTGGATTAAGTCGTTGTTTCATATTTCTGTCCTCAATCCCTAAAAAAGACTCAGTCAAGTTTATGCTCATTCATAGGGACCTAAAATAGAGACAGTGAACAACTTGTTTGATTGAATTCAAAAAAGGAAAAAGAACAACTTGTTTAGTTAGTTTCTCCGTCCAACAAGATTGTAGCTAATTCAAATTCGACCAAAAGAATAAATATTTACATACCTCACAGATAACTTTTGAAGATTAACAACAAAGTAAACAAAACTAATCAAATTTGAAGGAATTATAATTATTTGTGGTGAAAATTTGGTAAAATGATTTGAACAATACTTGGGTTCACCCCTAGTTTTAGCCAATCATTATGCCATATCATATAATATTAAATAGAGATTAAATTAAACAAACAAATTAAACAAATTAAAAAATAAAATTATTAACGAACATATTATTTAGTTGCAGCCTCGCCGTCTTTTTTTTAGGTTTTTGACATCATACGGTCACCATCTTTTCCTTCCATCTTTCTCGTTAATCTGACTTGTTCAATTTTTGCTGTGTTTCAAAAAACATTATTATTGTTTGTGTTTCTCTTTCTGATTTGTTCATTTTTTTAGTACATGTTCCTCTATGAATAAACAGGATACGATGGAGCCTGAGAAGACAATTTTCTCTTCAAGTCAAATGAAGCATGCATCATTGTCAAGAATAAATCCAAGACACCATAATCCAGAAAAATATCGTTGCAAACTCTTCTCATTTTATCTTCTTTTATTATCCTCAAAATTTCATAAAACATCTTACTTTTTGTTTTACATCACATGCCATCATTGTAAAATAATTGTGATGAAATGGTTTTGGTTTGGTTTGGTTGGAGTGTAGTGGAAGACTACGGGAACCCATATTTTTTCCCTAACATTTTTCAAATGGACTGGTGAAAGCTACACTACATAGCTTATGAGAGTTGTATTATTTATGTGTATTGCGTATATATCGAAAAGCTAAGTTCCCCATGGTTTCAGCATCACCAGATTGTAGTCTTTTCCAAAATCACAATAGAAATCACAATATAGACACACTGATACTAGGATTTTGCTATCAATTACCCTAATATACTTTCATGTCATTGCAATATAAGAGGTTATCAATCCAATCAGGTGCTCTTACTATCAATCAAGATATGCTCAAAGAATACTAAGTCAAGCCAAGCAGAATAGAGGTTTGTTATCTAGCAATCCTAAGCGAACATGCATAAAAACTATAAAACTACAGAACATGAATGAGCAAGTGCAGAGAATAGGTAAACAACAAGTAAGCAAGATTCAAGCAATCAATAGAGATAAAAGGTCTTGAGGAATGGGGTAATCGATTATAGCAGTCTCCTTAGTCTATCTGGGTGGTTAACAAACTCAATCAAGCTATCCCTAGACAATAGATTCAAATACAAATCAATCCACTCTCGTGACAGAGATTCTCAAGCTAAATCACTTTTATACTCAATTCTCATTGAAGAAATATAACCTAGCAGGCATTATGATTCAATCTAATATAGTCAATAAGCATTCTAAACATCCAATCTCTTGGGCTAGAGTATGCAAATCTCTGGAAAAGTTTGTTCAGACATTTCATCAAACACCTTGTGGGTGTGGAAATGTCTGAGATCAATTTCCAATTGATCAGAGAAGAAATAGCATTAAGATCTACTAAACCAGAAGGGAAATCAAGCAATTCTACACTTAACCACCTAAATATACTAAGGATTCCACACCTAATCTAACCCATCCTCAAGAACCCTAATCCACTACTCAAGAACACTGAAGAACATCATGCATAAAAACCCAGAAAACGTTTCAAACCCAGAAATCATTGAAAAGCAAGTATGTTATAGATAAGAGACAGATCTACAACTTTGATGAAGAAAAGAAATGCAAAAACTCAAAGGATCAACAGGAAATACGATTACAAAAACTAGGGTTTATGAGAGAACAGCGGAATATCTGCTGGGTAAAAGGAATATCCCCTGGATAAAGGGGTGTACCCCTATTTATAGGAAATACTAGGTTGCCTTAATTAGCTACAAGACAAAATAGAGAGTCGGCGGAGACCAACTCAACGTGACGTCGAGCCTGCGTGGTCGAGTCCGTGTCCAGACAGCTTCCTGACGTCCTACTCGACGTGTCGTCGAGTCCATGTGGTCGAGGGGGAGTGATTCTTCAAAGGGTGCTCCTTGATGGTGTCCTACTCGACCTCACGTCGAGTTGGTGTGGTCGAGTCCAACCCTTGGTGGTTTCTGAGCGCCTGCTCGACCTCCTGTCGAGTCCAACCAGTTTTCTGCATATGTCTCCATTAAAACCACCATAACTCTTGAATCAAAGCTCTGATTCGCTTTAAATCACCTCCGTTGGAAAGGTAACTCAATTTCCTATAACTTGTATGAAGAGCTCTGAAGCTAAATCGCAATGCAAGACTTCCATCTGAGTCGATCTTTGAGGGACTTCAGACTGGCTCTAAATAATCAATTCTCTTCTTTGCATCCATTAAGTCCCAAATAAGCTCCAAATACCTGAAACACATCCAATATGCAATATGCTATGCCATGCAATGCAAATCGTACTAAGTGATGAAATGATATGAAAAGGACTATGGATGCAATGAAAAAGAGATGAAACTTAGCTAAATGCACGAGAAAAGTGTGCTTAAAAGCGGTAAAATATAGAGACATCACACACGTATGCAGATCTCTATATATCCACATAATGAAATTTTTCTAATGATGATGATGAGGATCAACCAACTTTAATTTGCTTTTTCTTTCTCTTCATGTCACCATGGTTTCGGCCTGCTAACTTTGTTTATTATTTAGGGATATCTCAAAGCAAAGCCTAGTATCAACATTTGTATCTCCCAGCAATTTGATCTTTGACTTCATTCCAACAAGCTTGTTTGCATGACATGTACATAGACATTCTACAATCAATGATCATGTTGACATGGTTTTAGATGCAACAAATTTATGGTTCTCAAAAGGGATCAACAAGAAAACATTGGTTCCATCTGAAGTCAAAGACACTGCTATGTGGCTTTTAGTCTCTACTGATCTTGACTCAGGTGCTAAATGTGACCATGTAAAAAGTCAAGCTAGATACTTGATGTTACGAATGATAGATGGAAGAAAAAATGGCCACCGTATGATGTCAAAAAACCTAAAAGGAAGACGGCAAGCATGTAACTAATTTTTTTTTATTAATAATTTTATTTTATTTGTTTGTTTAATGTTTTTAATCTCTATTTAATGTTATATGAGATGGCATAATGATTGGCTAAAAATAAAGGGGTGAATACTTGGATTCACCCCTAGGGGTGAACCCAAGAATTGTTCAAATGATTTATAAGCAGTGTTCAAGAAAGCGCTAGGCGCTAAGCGGGCGGTGACCCAGTGCCTAGCGCCTAGAACGCCTAATCGGAGCCTAGGCGATTTTTTAGGCGGTTTAGACGTTTATAACATAAAACATTATAAATATGATATTATATATAAAAGTTATATAAAATATTTATATAAAACTAAAAATTATGAAATTATAAACAAAAACTAAATAAAACATTTATTTATATTTATATTAAACAATATATGAATATTTATAACTATATATATAAATAAAACTCTAATTGAAATTGAAACAATACATTAAACAAGTTCTATGTAATTTTAGGCGGTCAAGGCGGTTATCTAGGCGTCGCATGAGAGCCTAGCGCCTAGTCGGGGCCTAGGCGACCGCCTAGACCGCTTTTTAGAACACTGTTTATAAGTTACAAGTTGTACATAATAAGAATAAGATACTACCTCTTATTCTTTTTAAAACATTAAAATAAAGTAAAAAAATGTTTACATTGTTTAAATGATACGTATAAGAGTTATATTGTGTATTGATTGATTTGTATTTTTTTGCAGATGGAAGATAAATTTACAAAAATTGGCTAGTTGGAAAATTGTTTTGAAGAAAACTATTGTTTTCAATATCTAATATTAATGGGTAAAATTGAAAGAGACATTATTCTTTTGTATAGTAGATTATGTTAGATATTGAAATCTGTCAGAAAAAGCATCACTAACATATAGTAAGATAATTTGACAATTACAAAATTCGAGATTACCACAGAAAGGATACTGATGGAATTAACTCCCACATGTCCAATCGAATAATATTTTCTCACATAGGAAACGAAACAAACCAATTTGAACCAAATCATGCTTCCATATTAGTTACTAGATAAAACTATTTTCAAAAGTCAATGTCAGGTTTAGAATTGGTCAATTAGCTTTCAAACTTGACCAAAGTAAAGGTTTATTTTTTCTATCTTCACAACTTGGCCAATGGTCTAAAATTTTATTTTAGACTAAAATATTACATACATGTTGTATCATATAATATGTAACATATAACATAACGATTTATGTAACCCAAATCTTATAACTAGATTTTCTTCCATAACCGAATTAAAGTTGCTAGCTCTAGCTCTTTTTGTTTTTCGTGGTTTATCGTTTTAAGCCGTTGTTACACATTGGCAGAATAAAAACATATCAATCATGGTATTAAATTGATTTCATGATTTAGATTAAATATCTCTTTGATACAAAATTCTTAACCAAAACTTGAAATCTTAAAGAGTCTAGTGAGACACGTATGTATATATTTTTGTTATTGAATTACATAACCCTGAGTTATTAGAAAAAATAATTAAGCCAACTAACCCTGACTTCTTCTTTTGACTTTCTCGTTCCCTCACCTAAAAGAAGACTCTTTTTTTTAAAAAAAAAATTTAATAATGTAATGTCGTCGCCGTACCATTGACTTCTTTTGTCAATAACAAAAGGTTTGTAATTTCCACAATATTTTTGAGGTCAGTTATGAAGATAGCTTTTAATTCAAACAATATAATTTTCCTAACACAAAACACATCAACGACCAAAAATATAGACAACAATATTCGACCTAAAATTGAAAATGAGGAAAACATAATGACAACTTTTTACTTGCTTGATGATTGTTTCCTCCACTACCGTAATTAATCAGTAAGCACAATATTCTTTAACGGGCTTAAAAATATATGGATCTGAGAAATGATTCTAGCCTTCATCTACAGGCAATCTTAAAAGCATAGAAAACTAGAAGAAATGAGCATTGCGTCTTCATCCATCTCATGCTTTGCCTCCAAGAAAACAAGATCTCTATTTGAAAAGAATCTGCCTTGTTCAATTGCCTCATGCAACCCTCAACATGATCTATATATAGATATGTAAATGTTTGTATGTCTTGTATATAACAATTCCTTCCAACAATGTCATTGAGTCGGCCCATAACACGGACCGATGGTGCATCCAATGGAGCATTTAGGACTTTTGGTCTCTACTGGTGCTACCATTGTAATCGTATGGTCAGAATTGCATCCTCTAACCCATCTGAGATCGCGTGCCCTCGATGCTTGAGACAATTTGTCGTCGAGATTGAAACAAGACGGCCTCGGTTTACTCTCAATCATGCTGCTCCGCCTTTTGATGCTTCTCCTGAGGCTCGTCTTCTCGAAGCTCTATCGCTCATGTTTGAGCCTGCAATCATAGGTGGATTTGGTGCAGACCCATTTCTTAGGGCAAGATCCAGAAACATCTTGGAACCTGAATCAAGACCCCGACCACAACATCGACGACGCCACAGCCTTGACAATGTTAACAATGGTGGTTTGCCTCTACCAAGAAGAACATATGTAATTTTCCGACCCAATAATCGGACTAGAGAACTCGGAAACATAATTCCGCCACCAAATCAAGCACCACCCTGGCATGTGAACTCAAACGATTTCTTTACCGGAGCATCAGGCTTAGAGCAGCTGATTGAACAACTAACACAAGACGATAGGCCTGGACCACTGCCTGCATCAGAACCCACCATTGAAGCGCTACCATCTGTGAAGATAACACCACAACATCTAACCAACGACTTGACCCAATGCACAGTGTGCATGGAAGAATTCATTGTTGGTGGGGATGCAACGGAACTACCATGTAAACATATTTACCATAAAGATTGTATAATCCCGTGGCTCAGGCTTCACAATTCTTGCCCTATCTGTCGCAGTGACCTGCCACCTGTCAACACCGTTGCTGATTCTCGAGAAAGGAGCAATCCTACTAGACAAGACATACCTGAAAGAAGGCGTCCAAGGTGGATACAGCTTGGGAACATTTGGCCCTTTAGAGCACGATACCAAAGAGTTAGTCCAGAAGAAACAACAAACCAGAATCCTCGAAGTACTAGGAGCTAGAACTAAATATTCCATGGGCAACTATCTTTCTGACAGTGGAGCCTCTATGATTCAAGAAATAAAAATTGTGACTATCTTTATGTATAGACGCTATGAGAAATTGTCTAATTGAATATGCATGTATATCTCAGAAATAAACTCAAGCTAAACATACATAACGACTAGAGAAAGTCCTACCGAGCGCATAGCGATAAGCAGGACTTGCATGCTATAACAAAAATACTTAGTAGGAAAAGACAGTAACCTTGGCTAAACTAAAGTTATCTCTCAATTTTCCTGCAGTTCAGTCTTAGTGGCCTCACTATAACATCCTTTAGCTTCTTGAACCCATCCATTACAAGAGGGAAATAGGTGCATCTGGTTTTGAACTATTCTGGACTTGTATGTCCTCGTATAATATGTAACTATATGCGCTGTAAATGAAAAGGAAACCACTTAAAACCAATAGATTCAAAATTTCAACCATTACACTACCATAGCCTTAAAACATGTTCAAGCTTTTTAACAAGTAGTTTCTGAACGATACATGACTCGTTTTAAAAGATACACAAAAGTTATCAGTTTACTTGCTAGGACAACAATTATTGCTGGAAACCTAAAGACTTCACCAAGAAGACAATCTTCCTACCTATGCAATGAAAATATTATCGTCTACAATTCAAATCAAACACACAGGGTTTCCCTAAGGATAGCTACCAAATACTGAATTTTCAGATTCTCTATAAGATAACATCAGTCCATTGTTGGTTAATCTCTCTAAACTAGACAAATCAATTAGATTTAGACTATTAGTATAGTCAAAAGAAACTTGTAAAGAAGCTAAAACTAGTAAGGGTTGAAAAATAAATGCTACTTGGCGTATGTGTAACTGAAAGCATCCTTGCAAATCTTTCACGGATTCACAGAGTACTTGTTTCAACTAGATAGCGCAAATCGGAATCCGAGGTTACTAGGAGCTAAAACCGAATATTTCATGGCCAACCATCTTTCTAACAATGAAGTCTCTATGATTCAAGAAATATTGACTATCTATCTTTATGTATAGACGCTATGAGAAATTGTTTATTTGAATATGCCTGTATATCTGAGAAGTAAACAGAAGCTAACGTTTCAAGCTATGGCTAAAATACTGTTTTCTGCTGGTGAGCTTATACACTACTAGAGAAAGTCATACCATGCTATGGACATCAGAGCAAAAAGTGAGACACATGACTTGCATGCTATAAGCCTATAACAGGAATAAATACTTTATTTCACTCCAAAAACACTAACGAAACTTCTTATTGCTTCTCAAATATTTGTGGGTGTGGCCGAAGTCTAATGAGTTTTCGGTTTTGGAGCTTCTAAACAGAAAAACACTACTTTAGCTTTTTGGATCCAGTTGCGGTTTTTTAGTTCTTATACCCAATCATAAACACGAGATCTAGTCATATTTCACTCCAAAAACACTAGCCAAGCTTCTTATTGCTTCTCAAATATTTGTCGGTGTGGCCGAACTCCTATGAGTTTTTGGTTTTGGAGCTTCTAAACGGAAAAACCACTACAAGAAATTTGTTCATTGTTAGCGCTAAAAATATGCTATCTTACATTATATATAGCGAATTCACAAACGCTATGTTCTCAGCAGCTATGGTAGGTGTCACTGATAAGACATCATTGTTTGAAACGCTATTATAGTTAATGATATAATAGCAAAATTTAAACGCTGTGTTAAAGTTTAATATAGCACTTTAATTTTTTGTTAAAAAGTAACGATGATTGTAATTTCGTGTCATAATAGGTGATTCAATGTTAGCAATTAGTTCATGCTGCGAAATATATTTTAGTAGCTTTACGTTTTACGCTATGATATATGATTCTTCTACAATGACAGTGAATAATTGCTAAGTTTTGTTTAATTACGCGGTTTAATTATGCTGTAATACAATCTATCACAACTTGTTTTTTTTTGGCTATTATATGCATTCCCAGAACCCAACATAGACAAAAAAAAGTCTGAATAGAAATTTCATCTTAAGTCTGAATCCAATCCAACATAGAGAAAAAATCCACACAAATCATTCAACATAACATAAGTCTAAATCCAAAGTAGACAACAAGTCTGATTCCGAATTTCATAACACAAGTTGATTAGTCTAGTCTTAAACTAATTTAAACTAGCTAACCTGGACAAAAGTGTCTTCATTCCCTGCAATAATCAACAATGTCTCCTTTCAGTTTCAGATATAATACAAAAGTACAAGGATCACAGTAATCACAAAACTTACCCCAGTTTATTCTTAAACTCAATAGATGACCAACTTATCCATTGGCCATGCAATAGCTGAACCAAGTGAATCTCTCATATACTCGATTTCATCTGATGGCCTCCAAACTGCTGCATCATCTATTTTCACTATATCCACCCAAACTCTAGCTGCATTAGCCCCCAAGCGAACATGGTGTACCTTTAGGTCTGGGTCGATTGAATGCACACGTCCTTCAGCAACTACCTTCTTCTTTCCACTAATATCCATTAACATATACTTCTGATTGGCCTTGATAACTTCAGCTACACTTTTACGCTGCAATGTTACAATATAAACCAGGTTTAATGCATGTAGAAAAATAACCAGATTCAATAGGTAAAAACAACAAACAAAATACCGGAGATCTTCTCAGAGGGAGTTGTGAATCCAGCAGCTGACTTTTCTTGACAAGAGACTTTGAACTTGTAGCTGTGGACTTCTCAGCTAGAACTTTTGAAACTGTTGCAACGGATTTTGTACCTTTTGTTGTAGATATCTGAGGGGATGGCTTATAACCTGCTGTTGCAGTTTGTGAACCTGATCCTGCTGCTTTCCCTGATGCTGCTGCAGTTTGTGAACCTGTTGCTGCTGCTTTCCCTGATGCTGCTGCTTTCTCTGATGCTGCTGATTTTCCTACTGATGCTGCTGCTTCCAATGGTGATTTTCCTCTTGCGGCAGAAGTCTGAAGTGAAGATTTCTGACATGTTGCATCTGTAGGGTTTTCAAAGATCACTTTGTGGACAGGTGATATGTCTATATTTCACTTGTTTTGAGCATCCATTTAGCATCACTTTATCATCATTTCGTCATTGTTTCATACCATTCTTCATCATTTGTCATCACTTTGCATGATTAGGGTAGTTTTGCATGCATGTTGCATATTTGAGTTGTTTCAGGTGCTTCGGGGCTATTGGTGTTCAGAAAGAGGAAAAACATAGCTGAAAGTCACATTTGGACCATTCTGCTCGATCACCAGTAGCAGAGAGGGAAGCAGTCAGCTCAGCAGACCATCAGGAGTGTTCTGCTCGATCACAGGGCAGTCCATCCTGCCAGTTCACAGTTCTGCTCGATCACAGGGCAGTCCATCCTGCTAATTCACAGTTCTGCTCGATCACAGGGCAGTCCATCCTGCCAGTTCACAGTTCTACTCGATCGCAGGGTTGAAGAAGCAGTCCAGAGCGTGCCACCAACCAATCTACTCGATCACCACCTCCCCGCAGCCACTTGATCACAAGCTTCACAGTCTTCTCAGATCCCAACTCAACCAGACATTGAGCATAAGGAAGAGAAGAGGATGAAGCAGAACTCGAGCACATACTCGACCCAAATGCTCGATCACGACATGCCCAGAGCAAGAAATCGCAAAGGCGCCAACTTTATTCAACCTCTCTACTCGATCACAAGGGTCGAGTATCTCCGTAAACCGCCTTAATACTTTGTCGTCTTGTGATTTAGGGTTTCCTAGTATTTGCTATAAATAGGTTGTTTCTCATAATTTTGAGAGGAAGTTTTTATTTTCTGCAGAACAATTAGTGCTTTTCTTCATATTTGTAATCCAGATTTCTCTTAATCTATTGAGTATTTGCTTTTGATTTCTTCTACAAAGTTGTTCATCTTGTTGAGATCTTGCTAATATGAAGTTTTTATGTATTTCTGGGTTTGTGTTCTTGGTTATGAATTTTGAGTAGTGATTAGGGTTCTTGAGGATGGGTTAGAGTAGTTTAGAATCCTTGATCTGCTAGGTGGTTGAGTTTGATTGGTAGATCCCTTCTGGATTAGTTGTTCTTAATGCTGATTGCTTTCTAATCAACTGGAATCTGAGCCCAGACATTTCCGCACCCAAAAGGTGTTCGATGAAATGTCTGAACCACTAATTCCAGAGATTCGTGGCTCTGTACCAAGGTATTGGTTACAGGGAGCGTTTTGGCTTAGACTTGTTGTTTCGTAATGCCTGTTAGGTTAGCTCTCGTCAATGGTGATTGAGTCTGGGACTAGCTTTGCTTGAGGATCTCTGTTGCGGTAGCACTTTGATTTGGCTATTGAACTTGTTGTCTAGGGATAGTTTGTTGAGCATGTTAACCACCTGTTAGATTAAGAAGACTTCACTACTCGATCACCCCATCCTCGGGAATTTCTCTTCCATTTGATTTCTTTGTTTACATCGCTATTAATTGCTTGATCTAGTTACTTGTTGCTCAGTTTTATCATTTCTACCCTGTTTCATTTGAAGTACTCGACCACACCCAGTAGTTTGGTAACAAACTGTGCAGTCGAGTACCCTGTTTACAGTTTCTGTTAAATTACTCGACCTGATACTCGACCACATCCAGTGCTTGGCATCAAGCTGTGTGATCGAGTATATTGCCTGTTATAGTTAGAATTTATGTTATCTGCATGATCGCTAGAGCTGTTAACAACACCAAAACCTGTTATTGCTTGGCTTGACTCTGTGATATCTGATTGCATCTTGATTGCTAGCATCACACCCATTTGGATTGACACCTTAAATACTGCAATGACATGATAGTACTTTAAGGATAATTGATCTTAGCTAAAATCCTACTATCAATTTGGCGCCGTTGCCATTTGGGTGTTTGTTTGTTACATTTGAGATTTCAGACTTGCTTAGATCAAGTTCTATTTCAATTTTCACTTAGGTTACTAACTTTTTGTTTTTCTTGTTGTCTTTTTGATCCAGGTACAACCCTGCTGTATGCAAACTCGATCAAAAGGCAACCAGAACCTCCTTTTCAACGATAACATTGACCGTATTGATAGAGAACTAAGGGAAAGGAGAGACACTACAGACCTTGAACACAACCATCCTTTCAGAATGGCTGATGAACAAGATGTCAACAATCTGCC